CTGGTTCTGCTCACTTCACTTTGCATCAGTTCATATAAGTCTTTCCAAGTTTTTCTGAAATTGCCTGCTCATCATTGCTTACAGCACAATAATATTCCATTACAATCATATACCACCACTTGTTCAGCCATTCCCCAATGGATGGGCATCCCCTCAATTTCCAATTCCTTCCCACTACAAAAAGAGCTGCATAGCCACTCTCAAAGATCACCTACAAAGGCCAAGAGGGACTTTGATTTGTGTTGGTGGACCTGTGAAGTCACAGACCCCTGAAGTATTGAAGATTAAAAACTCATTTTTCCAACATGGAAAATGAACACACTCAGCTGTTACTCCTTTTCCAGATGTTAACTTTATGCTCCAGCTGATGGGTTTCATAGCTCTTATCCTTCCTACTGCATCTATCATTAGCTCATTCCAAAGTTGGGGGAAATTTAAACCTTGACAGAGGAAACAATCGGTGATTTGCAGTCCATCCTCAGCTAATACCACCAGAACACGTGTAGAGCCACTGGCAACCTGGGGACAGTGGGCTGGAGCTGCAATGAACCTCCTTTGATGGCAGGAGTAGTCCCTCAAGGAAACTTCCTTTTATTAACTTCAGAAAGGCTCACTAGACTCAAAGTCCTCTTTGTGACCCAGAGAAAAGGTAGGATTTAAAAGTGATCCAATCTGCATAGAAAGGTGATACCCTAACGATACAGAGATGATAGGGAATCACAGGATACCAGTGCAAGAAAGGATTTCAAGGTGGCCTGAGTTCAAATCTGGCCTCAGACATATGACACTTACTAGCCTGTGTGACCCTGGGCGAGTCACTTAACCCCAATTGCCTCACCAAAAAGGCAAAAAAAAAAAAAAAAAAAAAAGGATTTCAGAGATTTAAACTTCTCATTTTACTGAGGCCCTGAAAAGTGATGTGACTTACCTAAAGTCATTGAGAAGTCATAATAACTGAGAAATAATAACTATAAATTTATATAGTACTGAGAAGTTATAACTATACATTTATATAGTACTTTAGGATTTGTTAAGAGCTTTATATAGATTATTTCATTTGATCCTCATAAGAACCTCAATATTATTATCCCCATTTTACAAATGAGGAAACTGAGGCACAGAAAGGTTATAGACTTGCGTAGGATCATACAGCTGTAAATGTCTGAGGCTGGATTTGACTTCAAGTCTTCCTGATTCCAAGTCTAAAGCTCTGGCCTGGATCTGAGGTTGAGTTTTTTCTTTCCTCTGCCCCCTACATCACACTGCCTGCCACAAAGTCAGAACAGACAGGAACTGTCATAGCCTTGCTTGGGAATTAGGGAGAAGGATTTCTGATGCACATTCTCTTGGTGTAACCACAAAAAATGAAATAAACTCCTATGCAACTTTGTTTTTGTTAAATAAGTTAGCCTCGTAGTTCTGGCAGCCCTGCCCTTCATTTTTACTCTGTTAAAATCTCTCAACTAGCCCAGCTACAGGTCACAATCTCTCAGAACTTCCTTCAGATTAAAAGGATTCCTGATTTCATCAACTTCAGTCTTTCTTTCTTAGACTGCCTTGTGTCTTGCCTATTTTTGCTGTTATACAATCCTTTCAGTTGTATCCGACCCTTAGTGACCCCATTTGGGATTTTCCTGGGAAAGATACTGGAGTGGTTTGCCATCTCCTTTTCCAGTGTGTCCTCATTTTACAGATGAGGAAACTGAGGCAAACAGGGGTTGAGTAACTTGCCCAGGGTCACATAGCTAGTAAGTGTCTGAGGCCAGATTTTGACTCCAGGCCTATAACTGTATATATACATGGTGTTTTCCCTAATAGAATATAAGCTCCTTGAAGGCAGGTCCTGTTTTCATGTTTTTTTTTCCCCTTATGTATCTCCAGCACTTAACACAAGTGCTTACTTAGTAAAGGCTTGTTGGCTGAATATGGATTCTCCCTTCACCAACCCAGGTGATCATCCCTTCTTCATTTTAATAGATACCCATTGTAGGTGTCTGTGAACAGAAAAAAAAAATCATCACCTGGTAGTAACCCTTTAGTGATGAGCCTCTACAAACTTAGTTAGGTTGGTCTTGGAGCCACTACCAAAGTCCATTGCCTTTCCAACTTGGAAAGCCCTTCCAGTGTTTGCTCTCCTGCCATAGCAAAGCAAGGACCCCGGCTCACCTCCATGCAATAGTGAGGCATCAGGACCTGACTTTGACGGAGGCAGTTAAACAATAATACCAAATAACAACCCCTGTTTCCTTAGTATCTTTAAATCTGGGACAGAGGAACAATTATACTAATGGGGAGAATGAAACCCAATGTTGAAATCTACCCAGCCCAATGAAACTGTCATTTATTAAGCATCTACCCTTATCCCTTCCATATCTCGACTTTCCCCATTGTGGTTTCAACATATTGCCAGTCGGAAAAAGAAAATAAATGGGAATTTTGGGGGAGTTTTGTGGAAGCCACAGATGACACTTGAAGGCTAGCAGACCACACAGAAAAAAGTTTAGAAACCCAGAAATGCATAAAATATATAATACCAACATATTTTTCTCTTTTAATACCATAATAATTCAGATTTCTTCTCTGTCATGAAGGGAGGGCCAAAAAAATGTCACGAGGATTTTCCAGATTACAGGGGTGCTGCTCCCCTGACCCCAGAGATATAGAAGGGATAACTGTACTATGTATATAAATCAGTAGGAATTATCTTTTTTTTTTTTTTTAAGGCTAGACCTGAGATTTTATTGGTAGAGAAAATTTCCAGTGAGGAAATTCCCTCTACCAATACAGGTCAGTCCCCATTCTGCAACTTGGAGTCTCAGATAGCTGCCAACAGACAGCTGTCTCAGCTGTCACTGAGAAATAAGTGACTTGCCCAGGATCACACAGCCAGTACGTGTTAGAGGCAGGACTCCTGATTCAGAGTCTAGCTCTCTGTCTTCTACTCCATCCTGCCTTTCCTTGGCACTGAGGATACAAAGACATAACAAAAACTGAAAAAAACTTGTCCCTGCCTTTAAAGGGCTTCCATTCTACCGGGAGGATTTTTTGGACACTTAACCCAGCATTCTCGGGACCAGATACTCCTTTATCAGTTAGTCTATGGAAGAACTAATTCTAGCACGTGATAAGAAAGAAAATGAGGATCTAGTCACTTAACTAAGAGTAGTGTGCATATTTATGTACATTCACATGTAAACACATATATGGTTATACACAAGGACATGCATACATACCATGAATACAAGGAACCTCTGATACTACATCCCTGAATAAGTCAAAACATAAATGTTCAAAAGTCACATGTAAGAGATTCCAGATCAATATCAGCTCTCCAAACCGTGCTTCAAAACAAGGCCATAATTAAAGACAATTCCCTGTGGAAAAATGAATACTGTCTCAATCCCTTCCTGTGTAAAGTGAAGTGAGACCGGAGACAGAAGAGGATGGATGCTTTCTCAGGCCCATTCCAGATCCTGTGACTCTTTAAGCCTATCTGAGCTGGGGTATCTGTCCTTCATCTGTAGCAAAAGGCAGACTGCCATAGGCATACAGCCTAGCACCAGGAGAAGTGAGGGATGCCTGCTGAAGGGAGTCATGGCAATATTCCACCTGGTTCCTCTGGAATGTCAGAAGCATTTCTAAAGCATTCTGAACAGAGGGAGGTTATGCTTTGATTTTGCCTCCTTCGGTATTGGAGGAGCTCTGACAGCAGCTGTAGCCATGTTCTCAACTACTAAGTACTCCTGCCTGAGTTGGACTTAAGGTCTTCAACCTTTTTCCTCCTACAAGCCGAGCAAAGGCCGCAGTCAGGATGCACAAATCAGAGTCTGCTGTGGTCTACGAAGACAGATTCGCACGTTAGGGTTTTCACAGTAGCTTTCTGAAGAAGTGCTTGGAAGAAAGCTTCTGCCCAATGCTACACCACCAGGTGCTAGGGAGTCAAGGACATTACCTGGAAAAGCATTTCTAGGGAAGGATTCAAACTACAACCCACTTGTGATGCTTGTCAGAGACTGTGACACTATTTAGGTTGAGAATTTTTTTAAAAATGTATTTATTAAATTCTTTGCCATGGACTGCAACATCCTTTAGAAAGAAAACACACCCATTAAAGAAATCCATACCCTACATCAGGGTAGGGAAAATAGGGAAAACAATACAGACACCCAAAATCACTGCAGAGTTTCTCAGAAAATCCATATTTTTTCTAGGTGCCCAGTGATTTATTATGTATATGTATTGAGGGAGGGAGAGGAGTGGATAAGAGCCAATAGGGGCTTGGGAGCTACAGAGGGAGGGAAACCACACAGAGCTGGATAATTTTAGAGGATGATAATAACTACTGCAGTAATCTAGGAGGAGGAGGAGGAGGAAGAGGAAGGCGATAAAAACAGAGACAGAAGTTCAAAGATTTCAGAGGTCATTGGGTGGCGATGATCTTGGTTTCTCCTTATATCTCAATCTATTTCTAACAACTGGGTGGGGGTTTCCTCTACCCCTACCACAATGGATGTTACCTAACCCCCCAACGAGAGGAGGGGGAGGAGGTTTTGCCCATTCTAGTAAACAATCAGGCATGTCATTAACCCTAGATACAACGGCCAAATCACTACAGCAGCAGCAGTCATACAGCTACGAGTCAGTAGGTGAGAACCCAAGGGTGGCCGGATGAGTGCCCAGGAGACAATCCAGTGCCCTTGGCTATCAGCCCCAGGCATTTCAGTGGGGAGATAGTGGGGTATGATTTGTCACGAGCTCCTAAATCCTTCCCCGGGCAGTCATCAAAAGGTTCCAGATGCGTGACAGGAGTTACAGTAGAAAAGGCAGGGAACCCTCATGTATGCCCTCCAGAGGCTTCTTGAGGTCAGAGGAGGGGAGAAACCCTTCTCCTTGGATTAGGAACGTTTCTCCAGGAGTCTTACTCCCCACCCCTACCCCGCTGCCCTTTGCTCTCTGCCCACCCCCCCCACCAGCCCTTACCCCTTCCCGATCACACTCACTGGCGCAGCGTAACGCCCGCTGTCGCACCTCCCGGCCGCACAGATCACACCAGCCCGAGTCAGCCCGCAGCGCCAGCTCGATGAAGCAATGCCCCTCGCCGCGCTCAGCTGGGACGCGCGGGTCCCGCGGCTGCTCGAAGATGCTCCTCACGTCCGGGGGCCGCGGAGCCCCGGGGCGCCGCCGCAGCCTCTGCTGAAGCCCCGGCCGGAGGGAGCGAGGGAGCCTGGGGGGCCGGGGCTGCGGCTCCAGGTCCCCCACCAGCGCCCCCCGCGCTCCGCGCCCCTCGTGCGCCCCGGGCGCGGTGGAGAGGGGCACGGAGCCGCAGCGGCGCGGGGTCCGCCCGGGCCGCGGAGGAGACTCCGGGCCGCTCAGGCTCTGCAGGTAGCGCGGTGGCTCCGGGTCCAGAAGGAGCGAGTAAGGGCGCTGCCCGATGGCCGGGGACGCCATGGCCATGCCTAGCTTGCCGCAGCTCCCTAAGACTACAACGCGACTCCCAAGCCAGCCTCGGGAGAAGGGGCGGCCCCCGCCGGGCGCGCCTTTAAAGGGACCGCAACCAGCGGGGAGGGACGAAGGCGGGGAGATGGAGGGCTGGGAGGAAGGAATGAAATGACAGACTGACTGACTGACTGACGGCCCGAAGGAGTGGTGGGATGGGTCGTGGGGGGCTGCTCGGTTTACAGCCTGCCTCCCCTTTATCTCTTGGGGGAGGGCCCCGAGAAAGCCTGGGCAGGTGAGGAAACAGGGAATAGTACAGCCTAGAAATATTTAGGCAGAAAGCCCACTGTCTCTGCTCCTAACACATTCTAGCCCTCCTTTCATGCCCATAACACACACACACACACACACACACACACACACACTCATTCTCTTACCCCCAGCCCAAACCCACAGGATATGAAACTTCTCCTGGCCCAACTCCCAACACATCTCATGAAAAGGGAAAGGAGCCGTAGTTTGACGGGATGGCCCTGGGAAGTGTATGGTTTGGGGTGGTGGTGGGGGATGGGGGAGCAGATAAAGAGGAAGAGAGTAATATATCACCTGCAGTCTTTTCCCTGCCTTACAACCCTAGCCAAGAAGGAGATTTCTCTTCCTCCTTGGGAAATTTTCATTTTCACTAAAATCATTGGCCTCTCCTGCTCCCCTCACCCCCACCCCAAGAGGAAAAGCAGAGGTTGACCTGGAGAGCAATAGAGTAGGTGTATAGTCAAACCCAATTCCCCCACACCCCTGAACTAAGTCCCAAGACGCTTGAGAGACGCCCGGAGACGCTGTCATGTCCCTACTTATGCTTCCTTTTCTTAGCCCGAGACACTGTCTCAACTTGTAGGAAAGGCTGTAAAGGCCAGACTTTCACTTTTGATTGAAGTCTCCCTTTCCTCCTTCTTTCCCCTCCCCTGCCCCCACCTCCGCTTTGCCAAGCAGCCTTCCAGGCCAGGAGACCAGGGCAACCTTAATAAGATATTAATACTAAAGGTAGACCCCTGAACAGGAAGAATCCTTCACTCTTACAAGAAGTTTGGTTTGAGTTGAGGGGAATTTCCCTTCCCAAACTGGGCTCACCTTTCCCCTATAGCTGCCAAAATAATAACTGTTCCAAGGAGCCAATGGTGGATGTTAATATTTACAGTGCTCTTTCAGGTTTATAAAAATCCTTTATATGTGTTCATATAACTTGATCCTCCTGACAATCCTGTGAGGTAGGGGCTATTATTATCCCCGTTTTTCAACTGAGGAAACTGAGGCAGTCAAGGATTAAGTGATTTGCCCAGGGTCACATAGGTACTAAGTGTCTAAGGCCAAACTTGAACCCAGGTCTTCCTGACTCCAAATCCAGTTTTCTATCCATGATACCAAGAGTGGTGGAAGTGGAAATAACCCCCAGTTTGTGCTTTCCATCAGCACCTTTATTATCTGTGAAGTTTAAACTACTCTGCAAACAGCTGGGCTTCTGCCCGAAGCATCCTAGCTGGGGGTAGATCAAGGCAGAGGAAGCAGGGACCTCTATCCCCTCCATGTCCTTCTTGGAGGGAGAAACTGATGTAGAAGTCAGACTGGCTTAAAGCTCAGGAATCGCATTTCCCATCTGAAAACAAGAGAGATGAATGTCTTCTGGTAGAGTTAGCCATGTCTAGTAGGTCATTATCTCGACTGTGCCTTGGAATCTTTCTGGGACGATCCTCTTCCACGTCCCAGACTACCCACAAAGACATTTGGGCATTTTCCTAGTGTCTTGGGGAGGAGTTTTCGTTTTTGCTTGTTTCTTGGAGTGATCCTGATTTCCCTGGAAATTCTTCTAACCACGCTGGAGAATTCCCAGCCTGGTTTGTAGAAACTGTACTACCCTGCCCAGAGTCATGGGTACCCCTGAGACATTCTTTAGTTTGCATTTCTTCATGAACTGGGGTGTCACTGGGGTCCGGAGATCCATTCACAGGGACTGGGTTACCATATATACTGGAAGCTGGCATTGCAGTTTGGTACAATATAAAGGGCACCAGATTTGGAGTAAAAAGACTTGGGTCCAAACCCCATCTCTGTTACTTACTGCTTGGGAGACCTTGGCCAAATCCCTTAATATCTCTAAACCAAAATATCCTCATCTGTAAAACAAAGAGATTAGTCTAGAAATCAGAGGTGTCAAACATGGTGGCCCACAGTACTCCTGAGTGTTCCTGAACGAGGTTAAAATGTGATTGGGAAATATTTAACAAAGTAAATAAAAATATAATAAAGTTTTAAGATTAAGTCAATAGATGGCCCTCAGGGATCCTTAGGTATGGATTAGTGGCCTCTCTTTCTATTTGAGTTTGACACTACTGGTCTAGGTGGCCACTTCCAGATTCAATAAATTCAATTCAACAAACATTTATTAGGTGCCTACAATGTGCCAAACACTGGGAATACAATTTTTTAAAAAGTTCCTGCCCTCAAGGAACTTACAATCTAATGGACTAAATTTCTAAATCTATTACCCTACTATCTCTGAGCCTCACTAGAAAGCCTGAGTTTGGTTAGAACTCTAAAATCTACATTCCTATGCTTGTCCAGAAGCAGCAAAAGCCAAAATTCCACAAAAAAAGAGGGCATCTGGCTGTGAAAAAAAGTGTGTGCATGGGTCAAGGTGGGCAGGGTGTATGAAAACCTTCAGTGTAACCTTGGCTACTCTGAACTGTGTTTTCTTTTTCTATGAAGTTGGGGAGAAATCACTCTGGCTGCTCTCTACCATTTAGAACTAGTGGGAAATAAAATCAGAGACCAGTTGCAGGGATGTTTCCAGATCTATTGTGGGTGGTTAGTGAGGGTGGAGAGAAACTGCTGAGGCAGTATTATTCCTAGATTTTTACTACTAAATACATAAAGGGAAAACCTCAATATGGGGATGAGTTTTGTCATGCTCTCCCATTTTTCTTGTAAGCTTCGCACCTGTGGGGGCCTGCATAACTAATAAATGTTTGCCCTTATTCAACTCTCTGTTATCCATCCATCTCCATGGGCTTGGCAAACAGTGATTAGGTCTCTTGATCCTCCCAGGCCAACAACATGGAGAGAGATTACTCTCCTCAAGAGAGGCAGGGAGCTCTGATGAGGAAGGAGGTAAGCCATTTATAAATAGACAAGGGTGCCCAACCAGATTAGGATAGCGTGAAGAAGGTCCTGTGTCTGATTTTTACAGGAAAGATTATCCCAAACCAAGCCCAGAGAGACAAGTTAAAGGTTTATTAGAGAAGGGAGTTCCATCTCCCCATACAGATTGGGGCACCTTGCCTAAATTGTGCCCCTCAATCCTGTATCACCTAGTATTATACGATCAAAGTACAGTAACCAAACTGGGCAAATTACAAGAACAAAAATGGGGGAGGGATTTAATCTAGTTTCCCAGTCCCTGCAGAGGCTGTACCTTATTTTTTTTTCACTTGGTAAAAGTTTGAATAACCAAATTTAATTCTGAAATAATCTTTTAATTCAATTTAACAGCAAGCATTTCTTCAGTGCTTGCTCTTTATGAAGGTCTATGCTAGTCACAGGAGTTACAAGTATTTAAAAATGACATAGACCTTACTCTCAAGAAGATTTTATTCTTTTTTTTTTTTCTTTTGAGACTGGGTCTCCTTATCTTGACCAGCATGGAAATTCAGTGGCCACTTGCGGACAGATCCCACTACCCTGCTGAGCACAAAAGCTTTGACCTGCTCATTCTCTCACCTAGGCCAGTTAGAAGCTTCTCAGGCAGTCTGGTGCAATCCCCCATGCTCCCCAATATGTGGTCCCACTATCTTGGCCCCAGACAATGTTAATCCTATTGGTTTTAACCCTACTGCAGCTCAGAACTCCAGAGCTCAAGGGATTCACCAGTCTCAGCCCCTCTACTAGCAAGGATTATAGGAATGCACAACCACACTGGGCCAAGACACTGACATTCTTCTGCTAGGGGGAAAAAGGAACAGATGTGGCATGGTAGTTCTGAGGTTAAAGGGCCTGGTTTCAAATCCTGCCACTGATGTTTTCTACCAGTGTGATCTTAGGCAAATCACGGGTTTTCCCTGAGCTACAATTTCTTAAACTATAAAATGAAGGGGTTGGATTAGATAAGACTTCTGAGGTTCCTTGCAGCCCTAAATCTCTGATTTTATGACGTGTGCAGATAAAAATACCAGTCAACATGTGATAGAATCAGAGAAGAAATCCAGACACAGTACTCTAGGAAAATGTGAGGCAGGGAGAACATTTCCACCTCTGGGGGGATAAGGAAAGGCTTCATGGAAATGGCCTCTGAGCTTGATCTTTGAAAGAAGAGAAGAATCCCAAAAGGCAGAGATTCCAAACATGGGGATGGATTATATAAGGGGAGGAAAGAAGGAAATGGAACCTCAGGCTCAGGAAAGAGCTTGTACTTCACTTTGGCTGGAAGACTGAGGGCATAACGTGAAATGTCTGGAAAAGTAGATGGGAGGGAGCCAGATTGTGGTGGCCTGGGATGAGGAGGGGTTATTTTTTTCTCTACTTTTCTATAGGTAACGGGAACTGTGGCAGCATATCATAGTAAATAGAGGGAGAATCTTGAAGCCAGGAGGAACCGCATCCCCTGTCTGACACATACTGGCTGTATATGTCTTTTAATGTTGGACAAGTCATTTAATGTCCCAATATTCTAGGCAACTCTCTGCTTAGAAGGTACTGATCTGTACTGGTAGAAGGGAGTTTTCTCATCTGGGAGTTCCCTATACCAGTGAAATCATGTACAGTCCCTATCCCTAGTAGAAACTGAAGGTTTTCCATGGTGGGGATGACACAGTCAGGAAGGCAGCATGGAGTGAAAGCATGCAAGATTTAGGGGCAGACCTGGATTGAAATTCTGCCTCAGACCCTTATTAGATGTCTAACGCTGGACAATTCACTCGACCTCTCTAAGCCTCAGTTTTCTTCTCTGTTAAATGGGAATGATAACAGCACCTCCCTCACTGGGATTGTCCTAAGGATTACATGAGATAAAGGA